CTCTCCTCTGACGTGGAGAGATGAGCTGGGGGAACAGACTTCAGCAACAGACTGTGTTTCCGGAAGCACCTACTGTGCCTAGGAACTCAGCAGAGGGAACTGCTTTGCCAAAGTGACCCCTTTTGGCTGGTGTTGGGTTACACATCACTTTAGTGGGGAGTGCAGGGGAATGGCATGTTGTCACCCTTTGTGTGAGGACAGGGCAGCAGAACTGTGCTTAGCCTGCCCTGATTGACGCTCACTCGCTAAGCAGGGGGGTGGGGATGCCAAATCCCCATGAGAGTGAGAGAGAAAGAGGGTGGGGGCAGATGTCTGTATCCAGGGGTGTGGGCTCTGCCTAAAGAGTCCTAGACGCCATTTCACCCTCTCCCTCGACACTGTGTAAAGGCAGAGCTGATCAGACACACTGGAGAGTCCTTGTTTTGTTAAGTGATCGCTAGAGCTGAAATCACTGAGAACCAGGTCTAGCCGCTGAGCCTTAGGGCACGTCTACGCTTAACACGCTGCATCGGCACAACTGCACCCTGTGCCTCTGTGGTGGTTTAATGGAGACGCTCTAAGCTGACGGGAGAGAGCTTCTCCCATGGGTGTAGTTAATCCACCTCCCCAAGAGGCGGTAGCTGTGTCGATGGGAGAAACTCTCCTGCCAACACAGCGCTGTCTACACATGGGGTCGGGTTGGTATAACTATGTCCAACAGAGGGTGGGGGTGTGTGGATTTACTGAGCGACGTAGTTATACCGATCGAGGTCTGTAGGTCAGACCAGATCTCAGTTGTATACATGGTGGTGGCAGCAGCGGCCGAGGCATTTCCTGATGCCATCTCCCCAGCTCCCACCCCACTGGCGGGAGTTGAATTCACATGAATGCTCTGAACTCTGGGCCTTCGCCGACCAAGGACAGCAACTGTGAGTGGGGTGCAGGGGAAGGAAAGGGCAAAGCGAGTTAGAGCAAATGGCCCAGGATAGAGGACTCTGGAGATCTGTGGTTGGCGGCCCATACCCCGATTGGGGTGACGGGCATGAGTGAGTGAGTGAGTGAGTGAGTCACAGCACAAGGGGAGAAACTGAGGCAAAGGACACTGCCCAATATATTCTGGGGTAGGAGTTTGCTCATGGATACGGCTATGATTATATCATGGAGGTCACGAATATGAGGCCTTACCCCTCCAATTAGGTCTATCCCTCAATAATGCCCACCCTAGAACTGAACAGGGGCGGGGAGCTCCATAGCCTGATGGGGGAGGAAGGCCACAGGGCCACCCCCTGGATGCTTGCGCTGCTCCCCGAGGGGCTCGGCCGCATTGCTTATCTTCTTGATGCTGTGGAAGGGGGCAGCGTGGGGCATGGTGGCGTGGATGGGGAAGGCCGTCTCCACCACCAAGTGTCACTGGCTCCCCTGTGGCTGGTGGTGGGGGACCCTCTGTAGTTGCCCAGCCACAGTGGGAAGGCGGGGGATCCCCCTGGAGCTCTCAGCTACTGTGGAGGGTGAGGGGACCCTGCGGCAGCCCAGCCCCTGGTGGGCAGTGGGGGACCCTAGACCTCCAACTTGCCGCAGGTGATGGGGAACTGGAGCTCCCTGCTGCCGCAGGGGGTGGGATCCCCCACAACTGCTCAGCTGCCGTGAGGAGCAGGGGACTTCGAAGTGGGGCAGCAGTGGTGGGGGACCCCGGAGCTCCAGCAGCAGTGGGCACTGAGCTGAACCTGCCTCCCCTTTTTGTCAGTATATTTTTAGTGAAAGTCAGGACAGGTCACAGGCTTCCGTGAATTGTTGTTTATTGCCCACGTCTGGCCGTGATTTTTATTAAAAATATCTTTGCCTTACTCATGGTCACAAGCTTTCAAATTGTGGTTGTGGGGATTCCCAGATTACTGCCAGATTTCTTTCCCCTTTTTACACAGACTCAGTGCTTGTGAGAGGGGATTTATTGCCTCTTAGAGGCACCTGGGGTGGTCTGAAATTTTCCCAGATTATTGGGTGGGGGTGTGACGGGTTCGGTCACAGAGATCCCCTTGGGACTGTCACCTGATGTGCTGACATTACCTTTGAGCATGTTTTATCTGCCAGCTTGGGACTCCAGAACCCTGCCTCGTTGAGACAGACACGCTAGCCTGCTGCAACACAGAGCCAGGGTCTAGACCGTTCCCCCAGAGCTGCAGACTTTGTCTCTCTGGGTCCTTCATCCCTCCTTCTAAATGGAAAATACATGATTTAAGATGGATTTTGTTATCAGGTGACATGGCCACAAGTCACTGTAAGACCCCTAATCTCCATTCCCCATGGGCTGGCCCACAGGTACACAGGGAGGCTTTCAAGTAATTAAGGCCATTCACAACTGATTGGTTTTGGAGCACCCTTAATGGCCTCCACTTAATATTTTTTTCATCAGTGATACAAGTTTATATCTTATTCTCCTAACTCCAGATACAGAAATAACACATGCAAACAAATAGGATGAACACACTTAGCAGATGATAAGCTTTCTAAAGACACCATGCAAGGGGGATTTAGCGTAAAGTATATTCCAGTTATGTCATATTCATAAGCATATTTCCATAAAGCATATGGAGTGCAATGTCACAGGGGGCTCCAGCCGGTTTGGTTTTGTTTTGGAACCCCTACGTATTGAACCTGACCCTGGTAGCTGCAAACTCCACCTGGCAAGAAAAGCAGAAAAATGACAATAGGTTCCAATGCCACTGAGAGTGTTATGTGAAAACTGACCAATTGTTTCTGGAAGGCGACACACAAAGCCCCTGGATCCTGACCCATAGGGATAATGGAGCCAAGGGAAATTCTTCACAGTGCTGACTGCTCATTGGGGATGATCCGTCTGCACTGACAAGGTTTCAATCCCAGGGGACAATCTGATCTATTCAGATCATTACACTGCAAGAGCCAATGCCTGCCTAGTCCACAGTGAATGACCCCTGGAGCTCCCAGGAGAGCCAAGGGAAGGGAACGCGGAGGTGCCAGGAAAGGGGAAAGCACCTTTACAGCAATGATGAGACCCAGCTAGAGATGACTGTGTCACAGACAGGTATTGGAACAGAGCAGAGGACCTCTTACCGTCTTGGTGCTGGTGGCGGGGACAGCAGACATGGATAGATCGTATGTCTGAGATTTCGTGCAGAACATTCGGAATCCCTTGATCCATCTCCTGTACTCCTCTCTCACCTGGAGAGCGAGGGACACGGTCACTGCACTATGTAACTAACTCTGAGAAGATCAGAGATGGCCACCACGAGGCCAGTGAAGGTGCTGTGTGGGCACTGACGGGCCGTGGGCATTACCTGGCGATTGAGGAGACAGTGCACCAGGAAGATGAAGGCTCCCTGCAGGCTGTTGACGATGGTGAATAAATACGCCATGACCGTGGCTGCTGGGCCGACTTGGAGGAGACCAAGGCTCCATGTGCAGCCCAGAATGAAGAGCTGGGCGATGGCTTTAAAGGTCAGTAACCTTAATAAAGGCAGATGGAGAGATCCCGTTACAATAACCCTATGGAGAGCAATTAGGTCAGGAGGATCTGGGCAGAGTGGGGTGGAGCTACTGGCCCTGGCTTTCCTGTGTGGGACAGGGTTACTGTACATGCAAACACTATGGGAATTCGTTCCCATGGATCCTAGATATGCTGTTCCCCTCCTGCAATCCCTCACACCCTCCCAGTGCCAAGGACCCTCCAAACCAAGACATCTGACCCTCCAGGATTGTTTTGTTGCCGTCTCACCTGTGGTCTCTGAGGGTGGACACATCTGCATTGAGGGAGGAGAGACTGTTTCTCAGGATCCACAGGGTCAGGGCAAAGAACGTTATATTTATCTGTTGGAACAGCGGGAAATATTTCCTGTAAAACATCCCATCCGGGGCCGGTGACTTCAGCAGAGGCAGAGAACGATCCCAGGGGACCTAGCCGAACACTGCAGAACCGGGGACTGCTCATTTCCAGTGGGAATCATCCCCTCTCCCTTAATATCCCCTGGTAGCTCTTGGTCCCTCCCCATGCTTGGAGCTGACAGCACAGCCAGGGCTGAGATGGATCAATGGGATCACAGAGGTCAGATGCTGCTCTGAGTTAAATATGGAGCCTCTCA